TGACATAATTTATTGAATGCACATTTGTCGCTTTGTCGTTTTGACTTTAATCAAATTACACTTTTAAATTTTGTTTGACTCACGCCGTTATGATTGTGCACTCGTAACATGATGCGCGAGCCAAACGTTTTATCATATGTGGTCATTGTACGGTAGTAACACAAATTCCTTTAGAGAAATGTTAAACCTTATGAATAACACTTATAATAATATATACAAGTAAAAATGCATAAGAAATAGATAACATATGTTAGAATAGTATAATAGATACTATGAATATCTTACATGTAAAAATTATATACTTTATCAAAAATGGGGAGTAACCAATGTATTGATTGGTTACTCAAGAATATATAGGAATTAAATAATAAGTTTAGTACATAAGAATATTTTGTATAAATAGAGTAAGATTTTACAAATAAATCAGATTCTTTTAGATTCTTTTGCAAAGGCAACAAGAATAAACTATATGTTATTTTGAATCTCTGGTTATATGCGGCATATCTGCTGGTAATACCATTAAGGCGGCTGAAGAGCTTAGAAAGTACTTAAAGGCGGCTGAAGAGCTCAGATTAATACTTATCCTTGCTAGGTCGAAACCTTTTGGGGCTCTTAATTACAATCCCTTAGCAATCCTGTCAAGTTAATACATATCAATGTATTGGATGAAGAACCTTGCATGGCAATCCTGAAGCTACACATCTTTGCATGGCATATTCAAAGCAAGACATCCTTACAATTATATTATGAACATCCTTAATAATATCATTACATGGCGATCCTGCCATCATTGATAATAACATTACATGGCGATCCTGCGATTGACGGACCATTGGAATCTCGAAATTATTAAATCGAAAACTATTAAATAACCTGCGATTGACGGACCATTGGAATCTCGAAATTATTAAATCGAAAATTATTAAATAACCTGCAATTGACGGACCATTGGAATCCCGAAATTACTAAATCAGAAATTATTAAATAATATGCAATTGATGGACCATTGGAATCCCGAAATTACTAAATCAGAAATTATTAAATAATATGTCACAAGAAGATTTTGACAGACATTTTTGCGGCAGCGGTGAAAACTTTAGAAGAAGCGTTAAAAAATCCAAAAAAATTGGCAATCTCAAGTGTCTCTTGAAGATATCTCAAGGAGAAAATAAAAATATTTTACGGCAACAGCTTAAGGAGTTAAAGAAAAATGGGTGGAACCCAATCAACAGAAGAAATTGTAAACAACAATGTAGCAGCAACAGCAGCAACAGCATCAACAAATAATTTTAATACTAATAATTATATATCATATTTAAACTTTATATTTCTATTTATATTAATAATAATAAAAATTAATTCACATTTTAAAAAGTACATTAAAAAACAAGCAGTTAGCAAATGTTTAGGTATAAAAATTAAATAAAAATTATATAAAAAAAAAAATATATTTTTTTTCAAACTTTGTAAAATAATATAAAAATTTTCCAATAATGTACTCCAGATCAGATCATGACAAAATTAATGAACACATTTATATGATACTGATAATTTCATTTGTAATTTTAATAATTATTGTAATATTTTTGCTTCATTATATTATTAGCAAATACTTTGCATAGCAATAAATTCAATGTCATATGGATTTAATTGACTTAAGAAAAATATTAAAAAATTTAAAGAAAACTCCAAATAGAGTTTACACGAAACAGTACATAGTGAAGACAAAACTAATAATACATCAAATCTGGTTAGATATAGAAGAACATACAGATATCAAGAATTTAAGGTTGGAATTTGATAGTTTAGTAGAGCAGATAGAAAAATATTTGCAACCTAAGTCAATCACAGAACACAATAACAATTTAATAAAAGTATTTAGTAGATTACAACAATATAATCTTAAACTTAACCCTGAAAAATGTAATTTTCTTAAACCAGAAGTAGTATATCTAGGTCATCTTATAACCGCACAAGGTGTGCGTACAGATCCAAATAAACACGATGTAATAAAACATTACCCTATACCAAAAAATTCAGACGAAGTGAGAAGGTTTGTAGCAATGTGCAACTATTATCGAAGGTTTATAAAAGATTTTGCTGAAATAGCCAGACCTCTAAACAACTTGCTTAAGAAAAATCAAATATTCTACTGGTCGGAAGAATGTGATAAATCTTTTAATAATTTAAGAGAAAAGTTAATTTCACCACCAATCTTAAGTTATCCAGATTTTTCAAAACCATTCGTTTTAACGACAGATGCTTCTAATTATGCATTAGGTGCAGTACTGTCACAAGGAGAAATTGGTAATGATAAACCAATAGCATTTGCAAGCAAAACATTAAATAAATATGAGTTAAATAAACCCGTGATAGAGAAGGAACTTCTTGCCATTCATTGGGGTATAAATTATTTTAGACCATATTTATTTGGGAGAAATTTTACAGTTTATACAGATCACAGACCTTTAGTTAGTCTATTTACACATAAGAACCCATCATCAAAACTAACTAGAATAAGAATAGATCTCATGGATTATAACTTCAATATAGTATTTAAACAAGGAAAGATGAATACTAATGCAGACGCATTATCAAGAATACAACTAAATTCAAAAGAATTAGTTGAAATGATTCCTAAAAATATAAATATATTAACCAGAAAAATGAGCAAAGAAATGAATGAAAAAGATAACAAAATCGCACAAGTACAAAATGAAGAAATAACCTTAAAAGCTAACACGGAGATTGATCACCTCCACATGTGGAATGCAACATCGGTATCGGATGTAAGGTATTTAACAAAACTTGAATTCAAGAATATAAACCATTCTGCAGATGGAAACAATGAAAAAGCACTTGAACATGGAAATAAAAAGTTCAATAAAAATAGCAGCAAAAACTATAGTTGTGGAATATGACGAAAAATCATTATCAGAGATAAAATTGATTCTGAGGAAGTTATTATTCAAAATGGACAACTTAAACATAACAAAGCTAGCATTGGCGGAAGATGAAGAAATATTTAACCTTTATGTGCTCGGTAGTCTACATTTGTAGCATTTTGTGCGAAAAAGACTTATAAAAACGAATTTTGCACAACGACAGGGTGCGAGATTTTTAGTAGTTTCCTAAAAATCAATTTTAAATTAATTTTAAACTTAACAGCATCAAAACAATAATTTATTTAAGCCCTAGACCCAACTTTTCAAAATGATCACCTCCTGGCCGGTAGTCTACATTTGTAGTCACCATATAATTTATATGAAAATTCATATTAAATACCTATGTAACTCAATATTTTTTAGTTCCAACATACAGAAACATGTTCCTTTGTAATTTATTTTATTCTCTGTTTACTTGTACATACTTGTGCTGCATATTTGTACTTATATGCATGATTTTATGGTTTAGATCGCAACAGTAGG